CAAAAGGGATATTTGTTCTGATTTAGTAAGGCTTCTCCAATGTTCTAGTGTAGTAGTTCCCAACCTTGGGTAACCCAGGTGTTTGTGAAATGCAACTCCCAGAAAGCTCTAGCACCGCTAGTGGTGAAAGCTTCTAATAATTGCAGTCTAAGAACACCTGAGTTATCCAAGGTTGGGAACCCCTATTTTAATGAACAGTGACTTGAAGGATGTCCTGCTGACATTCTTCTGCTTTTAGATTCACCTGTGTCATTGTTTCTTAATCCACAGGTTGGACAGTATCTTTATTAGGATTAATTTACTATACATGGACAAAATAGGCAAGCTTTAAAGTTGCCCTGCAGCACAGGCTTCTGCGGTTTAGCCCACAGTGCCACCACGTCCCTTCGTATTTGTATTAGGATTTATTTACTATACATGGACAAAATAGGCAGGCTTTAAAAGTTGTCCAGAACTCTTCATCAGGCTATGGTGTGAAACATTTTCCCAGTGTCTTACTATGTAAGCTGATAAAGCTATCTGGACAACCTGAACACTTGCATATTTTGTGAATTTATAGTTGATCCTAATAAAGACATTGCCCATCTGTATATCTGGATTTGTTGCTATGAATTAACGTAGCTGCTTCCTTTTCCTTTCTTATTAATTATTATTTGAAGAAGTTTGTATGCATATTATCTGTGCATTAAAAGAAAGATTCATTTGAAATCGGAATGAACAGAGGATACGACTGACATATGCAGATATGCAATTTAAATGTGGCATATACTGTATTAGTGATCAAAACTTTCAAAAGCTCCAATGCTCTCTTGGGAGGAATACAGTTTTCTGTTATAGCCTTTCTGTGACGTAAGGTTTATTGACAAGTAATTTTTCACTGAGTATAAGATTATTATTCAGAGACCTATACGTCGTCGGATATATAAGCAATAAATTCTAGGGGAAACCATAGGATTTCCTGCAGAAACCCAAGCCAGTTAAATCTTCTTTCAGAAAACGTAAACCTATGCCCATCTCTGAGGATGGTAAGGAATATTCCAGGCTAATTTGCCTAATTAGTTTGAGTCCATCCCAGCTTCTCCCTGCAGAGAGGCTGATGCATATTTTTCTCTAATTATCATTATTTTCCAAGCTTCCATGGGGGCGGGGGAATGAAGTAAAGTTTTTTTCTCCAGCTGGTGGACAGACGTGTTGAATGCATCTGGGTGCAACAGGAATTGGTCATTACAATCTTCATTGATGCCAGGGATGGTGTAAGCAGCTTCTACCAAGTCTTATATTTTTCAGTAATGATTCTTACAGTTTTATATTAAAGAAGTATACATTGCAACAGCAGATTGACTCTTTGCACAGTAATTGTTTCTAATGTGTGTTCAAAATAACTTATGCTATAATTCTCACAACTTTTGAGAAATACTTAGGTGTTGCTTTTGGATGCTACTCTCCAAATGCATGTATAAGGTGAAGGTTGGGCTATCTCCTGTAAATGATATTCTGAAAGAGAAATGTATGATTATGAATACTAGTGCTAATGCATAGCTTGGTAGAAGACAGACTTTAATTTTCAGTATGAAGAATTACATATTTTTGAACACAAAACAGCATTTATATAGATTGGGGTGGACAGAGTATGTTCAGCTCCCATCTCTCTGAGCCAGCCTAACCAATGGTAAGGAATATAATCCAACAACATCTAGAAAATTCGATTTTCCCACCCTTAATGTGCCTTCTCCTATCAAAGCAAAATGTAGAGATTCTTCAAGTTATCCATATTTTTAATTGCATTGCATGTATATTTTCATACTAGCTTTCTTTAACCTCATGTTCCCCAGATGTTTTGGACTACAACTCCCAACACCCCTACTCGCAAAGGCAGTATTCAGGGGCACAGAAAGCTAGTGGCTGCCATTTTGCAGGTGTGGTAAATCCATTCTCAAGTCAAAGGACTTATCCACAGTGCTCGGCCTGTTTTGGCAATGGTGTCCAGCAACTTGGATAGTTTTGGTTAAAATTAAAAGCTAAAACCCAGAAAGAATCCCCTGCCTACATGAAATCAGATTCACTAATCTCCAACTGTCTGGAATGATAAGAAGCAAAGTCCAAATAGTCAAGGAGGTGTCACCTTGGGGTAAAATGATTTAAAATAACAGCATGAAAGCAAAGGAGGGAAAGGGGCAAAATATCTGGGAAGTTATCTGATGGGAACCTATATGGAAGTAGGACAGGACAATGTCCTCATGAGTTCTGTTTGGAGTCTTTGTTTTCTCAGGCATTCAAAAATGGATTGAATACAGTGTTTGTGAGGTCCAGGGCAAACAGGGTCATGGGCTTCCAGTGCAGCTGTGGAAAGAACTGGGATATGTTAGCTTTTTGAAGTACAGTTCTACAAAATTACTTGGCCAACATCAAGGATTTTAGCAGGATTTTTTTTCCCATAGGGAGGAAGCTGTATGGTGAATGTTAATATTATTTACATACCCAGTGCACACTGCCGTATGCACATGATATATCTGTCTGTATACAGTAAAATAATTAATAAATTCAGGATTCTGGGGGCCAAGCATCCTCTCCCCTCCCATGGATCCCATAGGCAGCCTGAACATTAATTGTGTTGACTGGGGGATTCTGGGAGAAGGAAAGGAAAGGAAAGCTCTGGCTTCATAGGAACTTTTATTGACAGAAGGGACAGAGGATGAAGGGGCAGGTAATGCAACTTTGGGGATGTGAAAGTTCTGAGATCATGAAAGAAAGAATGGCTTGTAGGGGTCTCAGCAAACTAGACTATCGGCCGTAACCTGTTATGCTGGCAACCCCGTCATGCAACTTGAAGCTTTAGCCTGATTCACCAGGTACTAACGTGTGGAAATGCTGGGATTTAACCAGATTTAATTCCAGTGATGTGAATGGGCTTTGTACCACAATCCTAAATCCATTAGACAGAGGTAAACACAGTTGAATGCACTGAAACTAACGTGTAGAGGAACAAGCTGTTAGGTCTTTAAAAGTGGCTCTTACACCACAGGAAGCTTGGAAGGAAGTTACGGTATGTGTTGGGTTCAATTGGCATATGCTTGTGTATTTGAGCAAGCAAAGCAAAGTGTAAAAATTCAGTTCATACTCCAAAAGAAGTTCCACTTGTACACACCTTTCCTTGTTCAAGCCTTCTAATATATACTTGTCTGTTCTTTTAGTCTGATTATAGTTTGGCAAACAGTCCATGCTCCTTTTGTCTGTAACTATCACAAAGTAGTAAATGAATGCATGCTAGCAAATATTAGAAGTTTCAATTAATTGTGTAATAAATGTAAATAATTTATGTGACAGCATATATTATTAGTCAGGATAATAAACTAGAGTTATGGTGGGTAAAATATGGGGTTTGATTAAGGGGAGGTGTACTGTTTCAAAAGGTTTGGGGATACTTAAAATAGACAGCTATGTCTCTTTTCCCTCAAAACTTTATTTTTATGTTTACTTTTATTTTACTCTTATTTTGTTTTTGTTTTTTGGTTTTGTGAATTTATTGCCATTGAATGCTGTGACTCTCTGGGGACTCTGGGGGAAGCTGCCATTTGTTTAATTAACTGTCATTGGATAATATGGCAGGTGGCTGCTGAAAAAAGTGTAATTTGCTAATTGTACAAATTAAGAGAGAGAGAAGGAGAAAAACTAATGCTACTGATTGCCAAGCATTCCCAGAAAAATTCTGAAAAAAGTGCCCATGCCAAATTTTTAAAAAAAATAACCCTCTTTCAAAGACATAACTTGAAAAACACTGACATACAGAGAAATCAGGTGATATACATACAGAACTAATATACCTGGCAGTCCAGCCAATTGAAACCAATAGAATCATCCCAGGGTTTGGGGAACTGCAACCTCTTTTAGGCTCCCATGGCAATTTCAAAGGATAAAGGGAATACAGCGTTCTACTGACCTAGCGTCTGAGGGTCAAGCTACATGTTACAGATTACACATTATTAGAGGGTGATATTTCTTAACTGTTGAATGTGTATGATTGTCACAGCAAGAGATTTTCTCAACTCAAAAATTTTAGCTTGCTTTGTTCTGTGGATGATAAACCTGGGTTTCATTTGTAAGTCTGATTCCTTAGACACACAGCTTTACTAGAATCATGTATTCGAAACATTAGCAAGATTTCATATTGTAACTGTGTGCTGTCAGTAACCTATAGGTGTCCCTTAGGTGAGTTACATCGTCAACTTTTGGCCTGTTAATATCCTTCCGGCAAAGAATTTGTCACTTGTCCACTTTGTTTGGAATAGGTCTACAAACAGAAGGTTTCTCAGACTGGCTTGCCTTTTTGTCTATATCAGCTTATTGGAAATATTCAGCTATAGCTCTTCTAGTTTCCAGGCAGGATTTCATTGTTTCAGACCTTTAGGGCCAAATTGGACACTTTAAAGAGGTGACCAGCACAGTGGAATAGATCTGCTGCTGGGTTGATTCAAAGCCCACAGACCTGCAATTTATATGGTCAAAATTGATTGATTCAAAGAAATGGCTCACCTTTTGGCAATTAAGGTTGCAGATGTGGAGACTTCGTCTCAGTCACGGTGACAGTCAGGGAGTTAACAGATCCCCCTGCTTTCAGGTATCATCTAGATCAACCACCCACTCATAGTACAGTAAGGCAGATTAAATGTCACTGCAAGCTATCTCATGATTTTTGTCCCATTTTTGCAGAATAGTTGATTACGTACAAGATGACAAACCTATAGCTTGGGCTCTTTCATGCAGGCTGATGATGCTTTATTAATTAATTCATTCAGTCATTAATTCACTCAAAATAATTTTAGTCCACCTTTCTCCTTAAAAGGAGCCAAGGCCGTATCCATTAACTTGTGGCCATCAGTCATACCAACTGAAGCTACAGTGTTCTTTTCTTCTTCCTACTTTGCCCTCCCACTAATTACTTGGTTCTCTACTTGCTTGTAATCGTATTTGGAAAGCTAATGAAGTGCTCCTATTTGTTTCAGAATAATCATTTTTCTGACTTTGTGGATAAACAAACTGGCTATACCACCATCAACATGCTGGCAACTCCAATTCTAAAAGGCAAGGAAGTGCTTGCTGTGGTCATGGCCCTTAACAAGAAAAATGCCACTGAATTCTCCAAAGAGGACGAAGAGGTAAGTAGTGAAATATTTTTAAAAGAACCCAGTGATCTTCTTAACCATAAGAAGTAATACACAAGGGGCTGTGGATCACCTGATACCACCCAATTTTGTCATCATGTTCAGATTCACCATGCAAATCCTGTACTGTACTTACCTACTCAGAAGAAAGACCTATTCAGAACTTAGAAAAATGGCACTTTAAATTAAAACTCCCAACACTGCCCATTTAGCATTACAGTTGTCAGGTCTCAGTGATGCCCAGCGCCCAGGCCCAAATAGCAAGGAACAAGGGTAGCAGAAATCTTAGGGAGTGGGATGTCCTTGACCTGGCAACTCTAAGTCAGCGTGGTTAGTGAATATACTGACTGGAGGATTCTGGGAGTTGTAGTTAGGGGAAACTAACTCTTCAAGGCTCTGACCTTATTGAATTCGATAGGCTTTCTCCTAGGTAAATTATTAGAAGATTAACAAGACCACAGGGAAGACAGTTAATGCCTAATGCAAGATGGCGGTCTAGATGGGAGCATGTCAGAAGCCTCAAGCAAGGTCTAGCATTACTTGAAATGGGGTCCATGAGAGAAGTTGTGTAAGTGGTTGGTCTTTGTCAGGGAAGAGTGAGATGCAAGTATGAAACATGATGTGTGTCTGAAGAAGTGGAATGTACGTAATACATGAAAGTTCACATTGAGATACATCTACCAATTTTAAACTTGCCACAAGACTTCTGTTCTATCTTGTTTCTGCTTTTGCCTGAAAAAAAAGTTACCCATTGACTTTAAGAGGAGGAAGACCATCACGTGTTTAATTGTCTCACTGAAAAGATTCAATCTTGTTTAACTTCTTTTTTCTTCCACTGCAGGTCTTTTCCAAATACATGAATTTTCTTTCAGTTGCTGTAAGACAATACCACACATCAGACATGTACAATATTGAATACAGAAAAAGCCAGGTACAGGATTGTTTATGAGCTTAAGTTAAAACCAGAGTTAGTGAAAGCCCTAGTACATACCTGTACTCTCTACCCTTGGTGCTTGCATATATTGCGAGATCTTCTTCAGAGGGCCCCATGTATTGGCATCAACATCAAGCCCACATCATCATATAGAGAAATTTCCTCTCCTGCCTATCTTGCTTTGCCCCTTCTTGATGAGAATCTGGTCACCAGGAAGTCTCCCAGTCTTTTGGAAACTGTGGTCTTAAAACTGTAAATTTTGGTCCACTGTTTTTATGTCTTCGGAATGTGATTTGGAAAGAAAAAACACCACCACCACCACCACCACCCCAAAAAAAGAGATTCCTTTCTTCCCTTATTTAAAAAAAAAAAACCTGAAAAGGCCACCTGTGGCTACAAGTCCGGATGGCTTATCTATTTTCCTTTCTTCCCTTATTTAAAAAAAAAACCTGAAAAGGCCACCTGTAGCTACAAGTCCGTATGGCTTATCTATTTGGCTTATCTATTGGCTAAAGCAGTGGTCCTCAACCTTGGGCCTCCAGATGTTCTTGGACTTCAACTCCCAGAAATCCTGGCCAGCAGAGGTGGTGATGAAGGCTAAAGTATCAGAGGACCACTGGGCTAAAGTATCAGAGGAAGTATGCCCCATCAGCTACAGGGGAGCACAAGGCAGGGAATGCCAGCACACCGAGGTCCCACTGATGGGCCTCTTGTAAGCAACTGATTGGCCGTAACCTAAACAGAACGTGGTGGGGCTGGACAGGGCTTTGGTCTTAATCCACCATAGCTTTTCGTATGTTCTTCTTTATTATCTGCTTTTGTCATCTTTGCTGCTAACAAGAACGTTTATGCTTTAATTTATTTTTGTTGCTGCTGCTGTACTTTATTGTTGTAAATCAGTGCTTTATCTTTTGTGAGTTGCCCAGGGAATATCAGTGTTTGTGTGGCCATTTAAATGTTGTTGCTGTTGTTGGGGTAATAAGTATCATCACCATTGTCATTTCACAGTCTCTCTAGTAAATGTAAACGTGTTGCGGCAGATTTATTGATTATGCCATATTTGTTCACATATAGTGTCTGTGTTTGGTCACAAATGCTCCCATTCCTGCTCCTGTTACCAAACATTTCAATAGTATGTCTCTCTGTTTCTCTCTGTCAGATGCTTTTATTGTCGGCCAACAAGGTATTTGAAGAACTTACAGATATAGAGCGGCAGTTTCACAAAGCGCTGTACACTGTCCGAATGTTCTTAAATTGTGAAAGATATTCTGTTGGTCTGCTGGACATGACCAAAGGAAAGGTCACTATAACTTTATTTATTTTTAAAAAATAACGTAACTAACTCTCTCCCTGCTACTTCCATGGCTTTACTTGAAGGAAAGGAACTACAGTATTCACATACTGTAGAAATTATAACTGAACGATAAATGGAAAATTAAGTATAACTGGATTGCTAAACTTGCTTCTTTGCATGTTAATTCCTTTAAAATCAACACGACAGATTTCATCAGCTAAAATACACTTAAAATCTTCATGCTATTTCTCTTTCAAAAACCTAACAAGTAGAACCAAGCCACCCATCCAGAAACACTATCTGTCCCTTCACCGCAAATATTTCTGCTGCTTCCGTAGTACAGTATAGGACAACTGCACTATCATGTATACAATGATGCTACCTTAATCTAATAACAGAGGCAGCCTAGCTGTGTATGAGATCATCAGCCAATTCTCTTTTTAAAATTGTCCTGGTGACTTCTAAAACCTTGTTCCAAGAGCCTCTCCACATCTTGGGAAGTAATTTCTACAAGAGACTTGTTACACTGAGAGTTAGTTACCCTTGTTCGCATATAGTTACTGTGTCTGGTCATTTTAATAAGTAGTAAACTACACTCGCATTTCATAAAGTTGTCAAAATGGACAGTTACCTTTCTGAAATTTTAAGTGCTGCACATTGCCGGGCTGTGGTGCAAAATACACTCTCCTCCCATTTACCTTTTTTGTTGCCTTGGCGATCACTACTGAACATAAGGCATGGTGTGAACCAGTGGCTAAAGAACATCATAATTCTTATCCACAGTTTAGTGAGATCACATCCACTTGCCTCTAAAAATACAGTAACCTGAAATGTTACAATGGCTTTTCAAAATGTAGGAAGTAACCCTTCATTAAGTTACAGTCATATTGTGATGTTTTTTATATCTCTGTTATTGACAAAAGGAAATAATTGTAAGTTATTTATCATTTAATTGTTTATTTCCAAGCTGTTAGTGGAATATTTAGCTAATTTATATGTAATTGCTTCCAGGAATTCTATGATGAATGGCCAATTTTGCTGGGAGAAGCAGAGCCTTACAAAGGTCCCAAAACACCAGATGGCCGAGTGAGTAGAATTATTTTATTTGTCCAAATCTCCAGAGTTTTAAAAATACTATATGCTTATACATTATTACATTGCTGTCTCCCTTTGCATTCAGGAAATCAACTTTTATAAGATAATTGATTACATTTTACATGGAAAAGAAGAAATCAAAGTCATTCCGTGAGTGCCCATCACAAGATTATTACACAGTAGTTAGTTGTGTTTGTTTAATTTAAAAATGCTCATTTTATCTCACTGTCTTCAAGGTCACCACCCGCAGACCACTGGTGTCTGGCTAGTGGGCTGCCAACATATGTCGCAGAAAATGGATTTGTAAGTTTCAACTTTCGCTTTTTACTACAGCTTCTTTGCATTAAGTGTGTTTATATATTCTTTAAATAAAACAATTGTTCTTGGAAATCAGTTTCAATAACCTATAGAGGTTATTCTACTTGAATAAACTAGCTAGAGTAAGTATATTCTGCTTATAATAAAAACAATAATTCAGATTGTTGCACCATCAAACAGAAACCAGTAATACCCAGACTGGTGATTTTATGTGGGGGGGGAGATAGGGTTTTCTTTGTTTTCTTTTAATATGTTTTATATGCTTTTTATAATCAGTTTCAATAACCTATAGAGGTTATTCTACTTGAATAAACTAGCTAGAGTAAGTATATTCTGCTTATAATAAAAACAATAATTCAGATTGTTGCACCATCAAACAGAAACCAGTAATACCCAGACTGGTGATTTTATGTGGGGGGGGAGATAGGGTTTTCTTTGTTTTCTTTTAATATGTTTTATATGCTTTTTATATTTTAGCCGTATGTTTTATAATATTTTGTAAGCTGCCCAGAGTAGTGGCATGCTCACTAAATGGGCAAAGTATAAATAAATTAGCCAAAACTCAGAAAGACAAAGGCTCTGGATTTTGTGCCAATTACAAAGTAATCCAATAAGAGATCTACTGACAGATACAAGTGTAGTCATTAGAACAATCCCAACCAACACACTAAAGGAAATAAAGCAGCTCATGTATAGCAGAGCTACCATAATAACCATGGAACTTAGTTACAAGCTGCAAAATCCCCAGAAAACTCGCAACTCTCCAAAATGGAAAATTCGGCTGGAAAGAAAAATAAACAAATTGTGTGCAGACATTAGCAACTTAAAATACTCGAAAGATTCAAAACATAAAATGAAAAGGTAAAAGCCAAGCTATACAAAATATATGACCTAGAAAGGAAAATGATAGTTCAAACTATGGAAGAATTAAAACAACGGGTAACAGCTGCTGCAAAGAAAATTGAAAGATATGATGGACACTTGAAACAATATAGAAAAAGCACACACTTTCAAAATAACCAAAGATTCTATACACTTTGATCATAATACACCAGACATAGCAGTAATAGAATGAAGAAATGTCTGGATCATTGACATTGCAATTTCAGGAGATGCCAGAGTTGAAAATAAAAAATTGGAAAAACTGACAAAGTACAGAGACCTGGCAATCAAAACATCTCACCTCTGGAAGAAACACTCTTCAGTGGTCCCTGTAGTCATTGGGGCCTTAGGAACACTATCATTTCACACAGTACTATAAGCAGTTGCAGATCTCAGAAATCACACCATCAGAGCTACAAAAAAGGGCAATATTAGGAACAGCACCCATACTGCACCGATATTTAACAGATACTTAGGTTTTTGGTTAAAACTTGTATCTTTTATATAATACCAGTCGATGTTTTTATAATATAGACTATACGTGGTGTTTCTTAAAACAACAACAAGAACAACAATATCCCTTGATGTGAGTTCTGACTTATTATACGTGGTGTTTCTTAAAACAACAACAACAACAATTTCCCTTGATGTGAGTTCTGATTTACGGCAACCATAGGGTTGGCTGTCCTCCTCATAGTGCAGAATCTAGCTACCAACCTCTGGCTCCACAGCCTTAGTTAATTTGAAGATCACATTAAATAACCTCAATTTTCACTCCTTAATAAGATGCTCAGTTATGTTTTGAGATTAAAACTGTTACACAGGTAACTCTATAAACTGACCTGTTAAGCTTATGTACACTACATTTATTTTGTAAACCATCATTCAAAGTGATTCTGTCTAGAATAGGCCATGGAAAATGACCATGCTGGTTGAGAAGTACTAAGAGCTGCAGTTAACGTTACTAGGATCTAATCTAGAAGCACCATGAAACAGAATACTTTAATTGGATCAGCTGCTATAAATTCAAGCATTTAAATGTAAGAGCATCTCTTTATTGAATATTTCCCTCTCTCTAGATTTGCAATATGATGAATGCACCTGCAGATGATTATTTCACTTTCCAGGTAACACCTTTCTTTTTCAACAAGATAAAGATAACATCACTTAAGCACTTCTTTTATATAAGTCTGGGCATACAACCTTCAGAACATGACCAAAGAGCCCGAAAAACCCACAACAACCATCAGATCCCAGCCATGAAAGCCTTCGAGAATACATCTGGGCACACATATTGGTTTTGCAATTTATAGCAAACATTCTTTTTAACTAGGGTGTGACATTGCCTTTTCTCTTCCTTTTATGCAGAAAGAAGCTTTCGATGAAACAGGCTGGCTTGTTAAAAATGTCTTGTCTTTACCAATTGTTAACAAAAAGGAAGAAATAGTTGGCGTGGCTACATTTTACAACAGGAAAGATGGCAGACCTTTTGATGAAAATGATGAGCAGATTACTGAAGTAAGCTCAAAGCTGAATAACATTGCTGAATTCAGTCAAGCCCCAGGAAAATAAATTCTTTTTTATCCTGAATAGGCCTAGAAACCTGAGTTATTTTAATCTGTGGATTTTTATTAAATAAAATCAGAATTACAAAAAAATAGCTCTCTACTGGAAAAGACCGTGATGTTGGGAAAATGTGAAGGCAAGAGGAGAATGGGACGATCGAGGACGAGATGGTTGGACAGTGTCATCAAACCTACCAACATGAATTTGACCAAACTCCAGGAGGCAGTGGAAGACAGGAGGGCCTGGCGTGCTCTGGTCCATGGGGTCACGAAGAGCTGGACACAACGACTAAACACCAACACCTCTTTACTCACATGGCCATTTTTTACTTGTAGGTTTTAGAAAGCTGATATATCCAAACTCTAAATAAATATCATACCTAAAATCTTCTGTTTCTTTCCATTCATTCAGATGCTCACACAGTTCCTTGGATGGTCTGTTCTAAATACTGACACCTATGACAAAATGAATAAACTTGAGAACAGGAAAGACATCGCTCAGGAAATGCTCATGTACCAAACAAAGGCAACACCTGCTGAAATCCAGAGCATATTGGTGAGTGTCTGTCCAACTCAACTGAAGAGAAGATGGACTCTTACTGTACGATCAATTGAACTTGTGTTTTTTTTCCATCTACTTTCTGTTGCTAGAAATATAAAGAAAAACTGAAGGTAGAATCAATTGAAGACTGTAATGAAAAAGATTTAATCAGGATTTTGGTAAGTAAGTAGAGAATTCCTTAAGTGCTAAAAACATCGGATTTGTCACAACAGCTTTTCACACCTCCCATAGTTTGCAAACGAACTTGCCTTGCTTAGTGGGTGGTCATTAAGAGGTAAACACTGCCTTAATTTGTGAGTGTGGCTGTTCTGTTATGGAGTTATGGTGAAATCATCTCTGGAACAGTAATTGGATTTCTGTAACATAGAGCTTAGCTGTAATAGTTCATTGGTGCTGTTTATGCAAAGATAAACAGGTCAGACCACATGTTGAAGTACTCTTATTAAATTCAAGGAAGTGCTATTAAATTTAAAAAAACAACAGTGAGAAAGGTAGTTTTAAAGTTGCTTTGTTTTGACATGTACACAATATGTTTTCATGTTGTCAGGACATTCTGGAATTATTTTTTCTCTTTTTTCCCCTTTACATGATAATCTTTTCTGAATGAATTATCTAGAACAGTGGTTTTCAACCCTGGGTCCTCAGATGCTCTTAGACTACAGTTCTCAGAAATCCTGGCCAGCATACCTAGTGGTGAAGCCTTCTTGGAGTTCTAATCCAAGAACATATGAGGACTCAAAGGACTCAACCACTGATTTAGAATAACTTCATCTATCTATCTATCTATCTATCTATCTATCTATCTATCTATCTATCTATCTATCTATCTATCTATCTATCTATCTATCTATCTATCTATCTATCTATCTATCTATCTATCTATCTATCTGATACTTTTTCTTCCTTTTCCCTCTTTTTGGCTAGTCATGAAAAGCAGAACATGACAGAATAATTCCTGATCCATTTGTTGCTTTGTAGCTCCAGATGTTTCTCAGACACACATCAATGAGACATGTTTGGAACAGCTTACGGGTTAAGGGGGGGACACATGTATTTTTAGGAGGCATAGGGTTGCCACTGAACATGGAAATCTCACATTGAATTTTTTCCTTCTGCATTGTGTAAATGTTGTATGCATGTATGTGTCTGGATTTCATGATGTGGATTTCCTCACCAGCACTTGCCAAGTATGTGGTATGAGAGTAAGGCAATGAATAATGTGAGGATGGCATGGGGAGAAGAGAATTTTGGAAAGAGGAAAGCTATCAATTTAACAATGTCATTTTCCCTAGTGGAGTGTGCAGGCATAGACCAACTTCAGGCTAGAAGTTATTCCTACAACCCCAAGATCTATCTGCTGAAGCTTTTCTGAAGACAGACACATTCAGCATTAATTAATTCCTGACCCTAGAAATATATTTTGAGAATTAGAATTGAATGGAACTCAACATTACTTCACACACAAACTTCTTCTGCACACTCCTATTGAATTGCCCTAAACTTTCTTAATTTTAATATAATTAGGGTAGACTGGGAAATCTCTTTGTCATTACTATCAATAAACAACTGGGAATCAAAAATCCTTGTTGATCTGCATATTACATGGAACCTAATCCACATTACCGTGTTTCCCCAAAATAATTTTTGCTCCAAAAAATACATTAGGGCTTGTTTTCAGGAGATTTTTTTCCGAGTTCAACAATCTACATTTATTCAGTCATTTCATCTGGTTGCTGCACAATGCTACACAATGGTGGAGGGCAAGATTTCATTTAACTGGGGCTTATTTTGGGGTAGGGCTTATATTACGAGCATCCTGAAAAATCATACTAGGGCTTAGCTTCAGGTTAGGTCTTATTTTTGGGGACACAGGGCACAAGATCCAACTTAAACTCACTTTTGAAAAACTGAGTCCTTATGTGATGTATATGAAGAGGAGTAAGTTGTTTTTGTCACCGAATATATTCCTTTTATTTATATTTTGGACTTTTGAAAAGTTTACCTTTGAATCCACTGGACTCCTTTTATATTGTTTATCCCCCCCATCAGAGAACCAAGATATCTCACTTTTTCCCCACTGAGGTTTCATGTGAGTGAAATCTTTTAGAAATGAATGCAAATCTATTCCCAGTACAGGAGGCCATCTGAATTTACAGTCTGATCTCTCGTGCGCTGTCACATAACACAGCTTTATCCTCTTAAAGAGCCTGGAATCCCAGCCTGCTAATGGGATAAAGCAGGTGTTGCTTCTTAAAACTGCCCTTGCTTTGGGAGGAACTGATGCTTGCCCTTGACTTGGGATGAGAACAAATATCAGAGGGAGCCTAGCTGCTATTTCATCACCACCACCACTGTAATAATAATGGCATTGTGATAATATCTATAATGAATTTCTGCTCCATCATAAGAGGGGATGCAATTTCCCTTCCCCACTCACATTTCTACTAATCACTGGAGCATATTTTCAGCACTAGTGAGGGCTGCAGGACTGTCACATGTTATCCATACTATACAGTAGTAATTACATTTGTCACTGGGTTTTGCTTACAATGCTGAACAACAATCAGATAGGTGCCAAATCAGCTGCTATGAAAAAGAAGGTGACTCTAGTGATTCTAGTTTTTGTTTGGATACAGAAGCTGACAACTGGGAAGGAATAATACATGTCTGGTAAACTGTCTTTGCAAGTTTTTATGTCTAATCTATACAGGCAAACCAGCATAAACACACCAAGAATCATAATGCTACAAATGCATTACTTGTATTTCCCCTTTAAAAATAGCTTGGAAGTAGTGTGCAATGCTATATTTTATGTGAGTAATGCTCTGTTTTCTAGAAATACTTCTTGAAACATAAGAGGATTTGCATATACAGTCATGTGAAAAAGTAAGTACACTCTATTCTATGGACATAATAAAAATCATCCGGTCCTTAGTAGGTTCTAAAATTAGGCAAATACAACTCCAGATGAACAACACACAACATATTACACTGTTTCATTATTTACTTTACATAAAAAAGCCAAAATGGAGAATCCATGTGTGGAAAAACTAAGTATACCTTATGATTCAATAGTTTGTAGAACTACCTTTAGCAGCAATAAACTGAAGTAATCATTTTCTGTATGACTTTATTAGTCTCTCACATCATTGTGGAGGAGTTTTGTCCCGCTCTTCCTTAAAACGTTGCTTCAGTTCATTGATGTTTGTGAACATTTGTTTATGCACAGCTCTCTTAAGGTCCCACTACAGCATTTCAGTCAGGTGAGGTCTGGACTTTGACTGGGCCATTGCAACACCTTGATTCTTTTTTTCCCCCAGCCATTCTGTTACAGATTTGCTGGTGCGCTGGGGATCATTGTCCTGTTGCGTGACCCAATTTCAGCCAAGCTGAGACAGAAGGCCTTGCATTTGATTCTAGAATACTTTGGTACCCAGAGAAGTTCAGGGTCGACTCAACGACTACGAGGTGCCCACGTCCTGAGGGTACAAAACAAGCCCAAATCATCATCCCTCTGCCACTGTGCTTGACAGTTGGTATGAGATGTTTGTGCTGATATGCTCTGTTTGGTTTACACCAAACGTCGTGCTGCACATTATGGCCAAACATCTGGACTTTGGTTTTGTCTGTCCAAAAGACATTTTAGAGAGAAACAAACCATACTTGTTCAATCTTTTTCTAATTGTATTGTCATGAACGTTGATATTTAATATGCTAACTGTGGCCTGTTGAGTCTGAGATGTAATTCTCGGGGGAGGGGGGTGTTGCAATTTCTCCGGGTATTGAATTTGCTTGGACATCCACTCCTAGGAAGATTGACAACTTTTGCTTGGACATCCACTCCTAGGAAGATTAACAACTTTCTTTAATGCTTTCCACTTGTGAATAACCTTCCTCACTGTAGAATGATGGGCTTTAAATTGTTTGGAAATAGCCTTCTGACCCTTCCCAGATTGATGGATAGCAACAATACCTTTTCAACCACCATTGCTGATGTGTCAGCAATGGTATCGTTCCAGACCAACAAATCTGAATGCTGCAGAACAGCATGTTACAGATCAGCAAACTGCTAAAACTTCAGCTTTTATAAAGGTGGTCACACTTGCTGATGATCATTTTACTCAAGGGCATTTGGTTAGCAGCACTTGGCTGCTTAGTCTCTTAATTCCTATGGAAGCAGTAAGAATGTACTTAATTTTTAGCACACAACTTCTCCATTTTGGCTTTTTTTAAAAAGGTGTAATATGCCATGTGTTGTTGTTCATCTGAGTTTGTATTTACCTAATTTTCAGACCTGCTAAGGATCAGATGATTTTTATTATGTCTTGATATGTAAAACCATAGAATTCAAACAGGGTGTACTTTCTTCTTCACATGACTGTACAAAGCATTTATTCCAATTTATTGGTGAAGCTGAAGTTAAATATTAGGAAACAGTTCCCTCTTAGTTTGTGTTACATACCACACTGAGGTGATTTTTTTTCCTAACAGAAAGAGGAACTGCCTCAGCCACAGGATGTAGAACTTTATGAATTTCGCTTCAGTGACTTCCCCGTAACAGAATTTGACTTGATCAAGTGTGGGATAAGACTGTTCTTTGAGATAAATGTCGTGGAAAAATTCAAAGTACCAGCAGAGGTTAGACTGATTTTCCTTTGTTTTATATAGAGGTGGGTTAAACAATCAAATGTTCACTTGCGTCCTCAATTCTGTGCTCATGACACATGTGGAGAGTTCATGGATCTTGTCTGTGGCTATTTCAGTTATAATTCATCCATATCTTCCAAGTCTGAGTCACAGGTTTTGCTGCATCTGACATCTATGCCTTTAGTTAATGCATGATGCTTGCCAGAGACTATACTACCATAAGACAAAAGGAGGCAATCTGACATTGGGCCTGAGTACTGTACTGTATTAGGAAATGCATCTGTGCCAGTCCTGGGGAGAAGAATAGGAGCTGTGCAACAATCTGCTTAGGTGCAACTCATGATAATTTTCACTGCATTTGTGTAGGAGAATCTCTGAATGGATAGCGTTCTGTTTCAATGTCGGGCTTGGGGGTAAATCAAAGGGAGAGGGTATGATATGTGCAATGCTTTTGCCTCAGATGCAATAATGTCCTAGTCTGCGATACACCTAAGGGTCCATCTGAGGATGAAGAGAATCCTCATTAGGGATAAGTGACACATCCATTATCTCTGCATTTTTATATGAGCTTATAGATTTGTACCCACCAGGACCCATACAATTTTAGCTGGAAATATATATTTACAGCTTAGGGATGTGATTTGTGCCTTACCCACAAGTTTACAAAAATTCACACAGAAAATTTGGAAAATGAATGCAAATGTGCTTTAGTCAGTGACAGAAATGCATATATTTGAAAAACGTGCACAAAATTTTATACATTTGGAAAAAATATGTTCAGATTTCTGTGTGAAAAAGAAAACTCCCTAACTGATATGGACCTGTCAGAACAAGCTTTGTGGTGAAAATCAGGGAAGTCTTTTCTCTTCTAGATTCAAACATCCTAATGTTAAACCCACCTTCAGGTGGACAGCTAGTAGAAACCAATTTTTAGAAATCAATCTTCCAACTTTATTAGAACAGTGTTATCCACGCAGTGTAACAGCATAGAGAATTAAACATGGTTTCGAGGATTTTTTGTTTGCTTTTTTTGCTGTGTACAGGTGCTCACAAGGTGGATGTATACTGTCAGAAAAGGGTATCGTGACATCACTTACCACAACTGGCGACATGGATTCAACGTTGGGCAAACCATGTTTACTCTCTTGATGGTATAGTCTGTTTATTCTGGACCTATGCCTGTGCTTGCTTTTCACCATAGTATGTTATAAAATAAATGTAATAAGTACTTGAAGATATGAAAATGAAAAATAATCTTTTTTTATATATATATACAGACAGGCAAAATAAAGAAATATTATACTGACCTGGAAGCTTTTGCTATGGTAGCTGCAGCTTTCTGTCATGACATTGATCACAGAGGAACCAATAACCTTTATCAAATGAAGTAAGTGGCACCTACTAATATGTACATGTCAAATATCTGGGTTGTTAAGTGAAGGAAATATTACTTCATGATACCGTAGTAGGAAACAATATGATTTTCAAAAACAGTTCTGTGTGAATTTTATGTGGACTTCCCCTTTCTACACAAGAAATCTTTTTCAGTCAGAAAGTTAAATTCAGTTGCAGAGAAACTGGGCCACAGATAAGCTTAAATTAGAAGGTTCCAATGGCCAATACTCACAACAGAAATTTCAGTCATTTAGAAAACGGCTCCCCAAAATTGGAGTCACCAATGTTTTTGAATTATTAGAACATCACAGAAGCCCTGATCAAGAATATCTGGGGGGCCATGTTTGGGAACGATTGATTTAGAATTTTTTAAAAAATTCTATTAAACCTAGGAAACTACTAAAGAGTGGTACTGTATGGGCAAAGGAGAAATCCAGAAGGACAGATTCAGTTCCCGGATGGGTGAAATTCAGCTACAGAGCCTCGCGTCCTTCACCACTGCTGTAAGGAAAGCAAAACCAATTAGAACAGGAAAAAATGCTCCTGTTGGATCTGATCTCAGATTTATCTCATCTATAATCTGATTTCCAACACTGGCCACTAGGTCAGTGCCGCTAGGAATCTTGTGCTCTGGGTGTGATGATATTTGTCCTGTTGTGTTGTTGCTCTCTAGAGCAACATGACTTTAGCGGCCCACTGCTTCACATCTTAATGGTTTAATATAGCTATCATAGCCAGTAGCAGCTGAGAAACTTTCTTGTCTACAGATTTGTCTAATCCCTTTTGCATCACATCTTGCAGCATTGAAGTCCATACGTTAATGAAGTAGTGTGGGGCCAATCATTTTCTTTTCTGCCCCGAATCTCCCACTTACTGCTTTTGTTGAATGACCTCAAAATCATGCATCATGAGGGGGAGAACAGCTGACTTCTTTCTCTCATTAAAGTGAATGAGCCCCACTGATTATGGGAAATTGTAGACTACAATCTGTGGTGGTTTAAAACCTCTGCTGCTTCTGCTTCTTAACACTGATAACCTGTATGTCACAGATTAGGAGGGGCAGATTCTGCTTTACCTCAGTGGTTTCATTAATGGGTCTTATGGAAATCAATGGACACCATTCACTTCTCTGAAACTAAATAAATCCTGTCAAAAAAACAGTATTCCTTTATAAATGGCTATAGTGTTGCAGCTGGTAGGTATAAACCTGACCTTTTCTTATGCCCTAGAGCTTTTCAAATTTGTCAAATGAGCTGTTGGCAAAGGTAGCATTTTCTTTTTTTCACTTTTTCAGAGAGTACAACAGGTGTAACATAGTGAGCTGCCCTTGATGATTTTCAGCAGCTGTTACTGTTGGAGAACTTTCACTCACAGACTGGTCTGCCACAGATTTCTGTGTGCCACAAGGCACGGTACTGCTGTTGCCTTCCTCACTCACTCTTGGGAAACTTCTGGACATCCCCTTACTTAAAATTGTTTTAATTATATTGTAATTATCCTTGCTGTAAGCCACCTAGAGTGGCCTTAAGTGGCTAGATAGGTGGGATATAAACAAACAAACAAATAAATAAATAAATAAATAAATAAATCTCTGCCAAACCCAAACATCTGCCTAGCACCATCAAATTTCCTTCCCTTCCCCCCAAAATTTCTGACCTCCTTACTCCAGCTGCCAGTGCCAAAATTCTTCCCACAGCCAGACCCCTCCATGTTCTCACTCACTGTTTGTCACTAGCACCAATTTTGTTTTTCTAAGCAGGCGGCCTTGGCATTTTCAAATGGGAGCAAAGAAAGCTCATGGCTCTGACCATGGTGGCCCTCTTAACACTGCAAGCGCAGGGCCTGAGCATTGGGCATTGGTGGGTGACTGCTGCAAGTGCCGGCACTGCTCCCATTCAAAATCCCAAGTATACACAATTTTTAGTGGGCGAGGGAGAGCTGTTCCAGAGTGATGAAGTGAACAGCTATAACAGATGGTACCTGCCGATTATGATTAGGAAATGTATCTTAGAGATTTGGCAATGGGCTCTTTTGAGCTCCTGGGCCCTTGGCAATGGCCTGACCATGTGCATTTCTAATGACAGAGTTTGAAGTCAGAAAAGGACTTCCGGTTGGTATTCAGAGCTTTAAAACTGGTTCCCTATTGATTGAAAGCAAGTGGGTATGGATGCACTCTACTTTGTAGTGGGTCAAGATTCAGAAAAAAAAATTGAATAAAAATTGAAAAACTCTACAATTATATTTCAACAGGTCAGCAGCTCCACTGGCAAGACTTCATGGCTCTTCTATTTTAGAAAGGCACCATTTAGAGTACAGTAAAACATTGCTACAGGATGAGGTTGGTGTCCATTTTTTACTACTCATTTTATGTGTAAAATAGGTCTGTTAACCACAGCTATACAGTAGAATCAAGTGCTGTCCCCATCATTGGATGTTTTGATTGCGGGTTGTTTGGGAAAATACTTTCTAATTTAGATCATTTGGACAAGTATTAAAGTAGATGACCTTGAAGTAGATATCTAGTAATATAATAAGAAAAAATTGAAAAATTTCTGTAAGCACGACTGATTTGCAAAAATACCCCTTCATTTTGCAGAGTTTAAACATCTTCCAGAATCTAAATAAGCGCCAATTTGAAACTGTTTTACATTTATTTGAAGTGGCAATCATAGCAACTGATTTGGCTTTGTATTTCAAGTAAGTGCTAAATTCTTTCCTGCTGACATATTAGCTTCTCATACAAATTTAAATTTCACCTACCACCAGCTGCAGATTTATAATTTTATTTTTTTCTGTACAGAATGTCTCATTTCTTGAGCCTACTACGTATAAAAAATAATTTAAACGTCAATAAAAACATTTTAAAAAGCCATACATTTATTATTTTTCTCCTGATAATCTGATTTTTAATTTTGTATTGCCTATGTCTCACATCGAAAATGCTATTCAAGTGTACCAGACATTGTAGACTCAAACTAATGTCATATTAGTTCCTGAGCACTAGTGCAACATTGCATACAAGGAACAAGACAACTAAACCCTGGTGTTGTTTATTTGTTTATGATGCTAGAATACTGTTAGTATAGTTCAGTTGGAAACTTCAGCCAGATTTTCCAAACATCATGCAGCCATCAGGATATAACTACAGTTAGAATTATACTATGATAAACTTCAACTTTCACTATTAATCAGAACTTTCTTAATGTTGAGCCTTAGAATTTAGTTTGACATTCAGGTCCCTTGTTATTTGGCTTCAGAACCCTATTGTTGGTCTCCCAGAAACTAAAATGCCCAAGGAGGCTATAAGAGAGACTGTGTATGCATCTTTATAAGTTTAATATCTTCACAGGAAAAGGACTATGTTTCAAAAGATAGTAGATGCAATTGAAAAAATGGAAAAAGAAGAGGATGCAATTAAATATATATCCATGGACCCAACTAAAAAGGAAATAATCATGTAGGTTCAAATTTAATTTCATTAATTTATTTATTCTTCAGTACAGAATTTTCTTTCACTTCTTTTTCTAAATTTTTTTTTTCAATTCCAAGGGCTATGATGATGACTGGCTGTGATTTATCTGCTATCACTAAACCTTGGGAGGTACAAAGTAAGGTGAGTATCTTCAGAGTCAAGTATAACCTCCCTGGTAAACTGTGGGAATGCGGCAGAGGTAATATATCTTGACTTCAGCCTCATGAGATTGCTCTGATAAACAAGCTGTGGTGTGAGCTAGACAGAACTACTATCATAAGCAGTTGGCTACAGAATTGTATTCTGACAGTGCTTATCAGTGGCTCCTTCTCAAGCTGGGAAGAGATAAAAAGTGAGGTACTACAAAGCTCAGTCTTGGGCGCAGTGCTCTTCAACATGTTTATTAATTACTTGGATGAAGAGGTGCAGGGTATCCTTACCTAATCTGTGAATGACACAAAATTGGTTGGAATAGCTGGAAGGAACAACATTCCAAAAGATACTAATAGGCTGAAAACAACAGAATGACATTTAACAGGGATAAGTGCAGAGTTCTGCAGCTCAGAAGAAGTAACAATGCACATTGAAGATACTTGGCGAGCATACTGGAATTGTTCAGTTTACAATCTGAATATGAGTCTACATTGTGATGCAGTTGCAAAAAGGGCAAATGCTATTTTAGTCTATATAGACTATTCAGTGATGGCAAACCTATGGCACGCGTGCCACATCTGGCACGCAAAGCCCTTTCGTTTGGCACATGAGTGAGCGCCTGCCCAGCCATCCTTATGGAAACAAACCTTTTGAAGTGGCTGCAGATGGGATTCCCCCTTTCTCTTCCTGTTCTGGGTCCTTTAACTTCCTGTCCGTCCCCATGATTCCCCCTTTATTTCCCTGTCCGTCACCATGATTCCACCTGAAACTGCCACTTCCTGTTCCGGTTCTGGTCTTCTGAGCGGTACAGCAGCCACTAGTTTCTTCCCCACGCCCTCATTTTGGGCACTCAAGCCGAGAAAGGTCTGCCTCCGCTGCTAGACCATGTGAAATACTAGTTCCCTTCTATTCAGCACCAGTTAGGTTTCATCTTGATTACTTTGTCCATTTCTAGACACTGCACTTTAAGGATGGTGACAAACTGGAACAAATTCAGAGGATGGCTGCAATAATGGTCAGGGGACTGGAAACCTTGATAGCCTGAAAAGCCTCTTCCTATTCCATTATTTGATTATTCTAGGATAACCTAGAACATAGATTACACAAAATATCTGTGCAAAATATAATGCTTTTTAAAGAAAGAATACATTTGATGTTAAAATCTATATCTGGAGATGTTTACCTCATTTCATTTCCATATTTGTTTCCGTGTTTTTAACTATATGTCCAAAGCCACTGATAGCAACCAAAATCAACATACAGTATTTTAAAAACTCCCAAGAATATAAGAGCAGTCATCCTGAATCAGATCATTGTCCATATTTGGATTTTGTCCAAAATCCAAATATTTTGACCTACAGTTCCCATCCCCTCATCCAACATGGCCAGTGTTAAAAGAGACTGTCATCCAGACATAGACCAAGCATTGTTTGCAACAGGCTAATGATGATTCTGCAGATCTCTCTCGCAGAACATAAAAAAATCAAAGTCTTCCAGCCCTTTGGTAGGAAATGAAGGATGAATCTATTCTGCTTGGTGTACCAGGATTACCAGTATTCAGATGTACATGTGCTGCTTCCAGATGCAAGGCTCATAATACCACCTATCAAAAAGCATTGTGTAGCTATTCTGCTTTTCTTACTTTGATTTTTTTTCTTGGTTCCTTTGTTAAAAGTAGAAAAAGAGATTTAGGGTGAGGTATCAACTCCTGGAAAATTTTTACTGGCTTTTTCTGTATCAGCTCTGTGATAGCCTTCTGAGATGTAGCACCAGGACTTGTACATCATGGACAGGTGCCTACATAATAGGTGTAAAAGTCAAACCATAATCACACTATGGTTACTCCATGAACAATACAGTATCCTGGCCATCATTTATAATTGTATCAGCCTCTGAAACAAAAGGCAATCATGGGAATGTGCCATTCAGAATAGTTTCAAATATATAGTCATAAAGAAAAGGAGCAATACTGCATGTTGCCTGTTCTAGTTTGCAGTTCCTGCACAGCCTTCTTATCATTCCAGGTTGCCATCATGGTGGCAAATGAATTCTGGGAGCAAGGTGACCTTGAACGAACTGTTTTACAGCAACAGCCAATTGTAAGTGTTTCATTACATTATACAGCGTTGCTTTCAGCTAACTGATCATGCTTCTAGACTTTCCACTTAATATTTTCCCAATACCTTTATAGCCAATGATGGACAGGAATAAGAGTGAGGAACTGCCCAAGCTTCAAGTTGGCTTCATTGATTTTGTGTGCACCTTTGTCTACAAGGTAAGATGAAGGATCCACCATTTTATTATCCAGTATTTACAATGCAGAGCAATTTTTAGAAATAAGGAATTAAGATTATAAATTTAAGTCCACATGCTTGTGAGTGTCTGAGAATGCTTACTCTGCTGCCAGATGTCTAGCCAGATGTCCTCCATTAAAGAAAGCACTAGCTATATTGAATTCCCAATCCCATATTTGCCCCTAGAGTACATTGTGGGGGGCAGTTGCACAGACAAGAGTTGGAGGTGGTGGTCTGTATGACTAGTACAAATGCATGATTTTTTAAAGCATGCAAGTACATTTTATGGATCTCAACTATTTATTTAGGAATTTTCAAGATTCCACAAAGAAATCACACCAATGTTCGATGGTCTTCAAAATAATCGGGTGGAATGGAAGTCACGAGCTGATATATATGAGGAAAAGATGAAAGCTATTGAGGAAGAAAAGAAAAGACGGGAGGAAGAGGCTGCCAAGAAAGGTTAGTTGTATTTTTTATTCAAAATGTTGAAGTATATCTATGCAGCAACTCTGGCAGATATATCGACGTACCTCTGTCATTTTGAGACTTTTTGCTGAAGTTGGTATTCAAGGAACATTCCACTAAACTGTACTTAATGGTAAGTGAAGACACAGCATAGTTGCCTGAACCCAATGGTCCTTCTGCTCATGGAATTGCCCACCTGCGGAAGAGGATGGAGCCAAAGGTTTCCCTCCTATAGATCTGCTCTTGAGATTTGGCGGATTCCCAGAACAGCATAAGAAGGGGTTGTGACATAGGACAGAAGGGGTAATGGCCAAAACAACCCCACTTCCCTTTCCTTTGAATAACCAGCTTTTATAAATAGAAATAGCTCTTCGTTTCACAAGAAAGCTACCTTGTAGTTAAGGAAATATACTCAGAAACAACAACAAAACTATAGAAAGATAACTGACTGACAGTGCAATCCTGTTCATGTCTCTCAGGCAAGCAGGTACAGGACTGCAGTCTTGATATAGTATATTTAATGGGACAGTGAAAAGTGATGTTTTTCTTTTCAAAGAGCCTGTGGAGGCTTTTTAATTTAACACACTTATGAAAATCAATTCTTTATTAATCGCTTCGGTTAATGTGAATGTCCCTGTCATATTAAATATTGCCTTTGTGAGCAGTTGTGGGTTTTGGAAGTAATGTCACTATGTCACTTAATTTTTTTTTTAAAGAGAAATGCATGCATTCCAAAGGATGCCTAAAAACTGAATAATGCACAAGATTGAACACAAATGGGAAATAGAAGATTATAATTGTTGGTGATACGCCGGTATTAGGGAAAATGGAAATTCTGCTATCTGCAAACATGTTAATTAATGAAGAAATTTAAAACCGTACCTGTAGTTTCCTGAAGCGATTTTAAGCCTCTACTTTATATCAGAGAAATAACATTGCTGTGAACGTGCACAGCAGTACAAAAACCACATGACTGAAAATTGATTTAAAATACATCTGTACTGAAATTGATACAAATCAGCAAAGTAACTGGACCTTTAGTCTCTGTTAAACTACCTTCAAGTAGCCAACTCTTTCCAACTCAGCACTAAATGTTAAATTAAAATACTGAAGGACAAAATCTACAGCTTAATTCCCCCCCCCCCCGAGCTAGCTTAAGAAAATAATATTACTGATTGAATCTGTGGCATTTTGTGCTGTTTTCACTAGTGTTAAAGTCTGGATCTTTTGTTTTGTCTTGTTTCTTTTTCATACGCTTTGCTTTCTTGCTGTTCCTTACCCAAAGCTTAGGCCAAAACCAAGCATACCCTTTCCAGAAACAATAGAAAAAGCTGCTGGAAGTATTACACCAGCTGTAACTACATGCTCAGATTCATGATTTGCTTTCTAGACTTGATTATTCTCCAGCTGCTAGTGAGTCTCATAAAAAAAAGCAAACAGCCCAATTCAGCTAAGGAGAGCCATATAAGTAAACAGAATTTTCACTAAATTTGGAACTCAAAACAAATATTGATCCGAAGGAATCAGTTTATCTTCATTCCACTACTCTGAATTAGATATATACTGTATTTGTAGCCTCATTCTAATGAACATCCCACCATTGTTTGTATGGAATGCATACTTCTAACTGCATTCAAATACACATCCCTGTTCAAGTTCTTATATGTTGACACCACGTTTCTACATCACTTGAGTTAGATCAAGGCCACTTATTATGCTGGTAGCCCATTATAAGATGCTATCTAATTCTTCTCTTAAATTAGAAGTAAATGTTCCCTTTCTTCCTGCTCTGGAAAATGCCACCATCCTTGGGGAAATCTTAGGGTCTAAAAGAAACACTCTCTCCAAATTTTATGACTTGGGCAGATTTTTAATCATTGTACCTTTTAATAACCTGCTGTTTTTAACGTTTGTATATGTCAACTTTAGCACATTTTTCCAAAGAACAAAAAGTTTCTCAAGGTTTCTTTATATTCACTAACTACTGGTAACCTTAACGTCTAGGATAATTTGGCTTATCCTCTTCCAAAGCTGAAGAAGCAAATGGCTGTGTCCATGTATCTTGTGGCACAGAATGTCATACATTCATTTTCTATTCTGTGAAGAACAGTTTCCTTCTGATAACATGAATGTATTCCTAATCATTTCATTCATTGGCTGGCTTAAGGTTCCAATATTCTGAAAGGGAAAGTTCTCTATCGATTTGATTCTGATAGACTGTAAAAGCACTGTGATACTGGCAGGCTTTGAAGTCCATATCCCCATAACTTGCAGCATGGAATCTGCCACTGCATATCAATTTACATAAGCCACGTGACGTCTTAGTTTTTCCTTTACCTGTCTTCCCTCCTCAGTTTCTTTCCTTTTCAAAAAACAAGAACTAGACATTCATCCTCATAACTGTCTTCCCTCCTCAGTTTCTTTCCTTTTTAAAAAAACAAGAACTAGTCATTCATCCTCATAGGCATCCTTCAGTCTCGAGAGACTATGGTAACGTGCTCTGTATCGAGAAGTGTCCAGAGCATGAAGCCTGGGTAAAGTAATATGAAGGATAGGCTGTGTTATCCAAGCAGCAGATCCCCCCTCTCCACGTTGCTGAAATGGTCCAATGGAAAGGCAAGAGCCAATACAACTGGTTCCAGCAACGTCGCAGGAGTTGGCAGAATGACATGAACTGCTTCCGAGACATTATGTTGTTAATAAACCTTGTGACATGAAACTTTTTTTAATATTAATTTTGAAACAGACATTTCCTTTTAATAAAACATCTTTTAAAAGTAGATCCCAAAAACAATACTGGGAAATAGCATTTCCTTCAAAGCTAAAACAAAGTGTGCTGCATACATACTGCCCCATAGTGTTTAAAGCACTCTCTGGACAGCTTACATATTTTTCCCCTACATATTCCCACGAAGGAATCGGAGTACTCAGTTTACTGACCTTGGAAGGATGGAAGGCTGAGTCAACCTCAGCCGGCTGCCTAAGCCTATTGTGATCAAACTCAGGTTGTGAGCAGTGTCTTGCCTACAGTACTGCAGTTTAACCACTGTGCCATGATTCTGACGGTATAATATAATTTGATATATAGTTAAAATATCTATAAAATTTATGTTATGATTGCTTACAACATAATTGTCTCACCATAATATTACAGTGTATCACTGTAATAAATATGTGCTGCTACAGTGAAAAAATATGGTATAAAATGAAGCAGATCAGTGAGCTAATAATTTCATAGTATAATCAAAACTTTGTGTAAATACATGTGTGAGTTAATATTATTATTATTATTGCAATGGCACAATCTCAAATCACAAATAATCTCCATGAGGTCTATCGCTCATGCTTAGGCTGGTATGACTTGCATCAAAGATCGTATTACACTTTTTAGACCTCCTACCTGTCCTGCTGTGTTATACACTGTAAATTGTTGATTTTCAAAATAAAACAAAATACATTTGCTGAACCACTGCAGTGGAAAGTTCAGAACAGAAAATAAACAGGATGATATGTTACTAAATTAAAATCAGTATTTTGAATATCATGCTGTTACTTATTTGGAACAATTCCAGGAGGTAGGCCACTGATCATGTGACATGTTTCAATGCAGGTGGAAAGGGTCGAAAATAACCTAGTAACATGATGATCCACAGCTTTCAAATGTAAGTTCTAACTCTAATGTTGGTATGTTAAATTTGAATGAGCCAGAAAGCAACAATTTACCCACAAGAGAAGAATTATTAAAAATAAAAACCTGTGGAATCATTTGAAAGAAAATAGAACAAGAAAAACTACTTCAGTCTTTAAAAAAATAGCCAGTTAATTTTTCAGACTGATTAAAGTTGTTTTTGTTTTTATCATCATCCATACTTAGAACAAAGAAAGCTCACAGTCTTCCTCTCAGATAGTCTAGAGGATTTTACTAATCTATGGCTTTAATCTTTTATTCCAAAACCTTTCATCAAATACAATGTGTGTGCAGTTGGGTATACCTGGTTACTGAAACTTTCCAGTATGAGTGGTTCAGTTTGTGTTTGTCCTTTGAAAAGTTTTTTACTTTCTGTATCGTACCATGATTTGATTACTCATCAAAGAATGCGCCATTACCTAAATGGTTTTGAGCTTTCAAAAGGTCAAACACATGTGCTTTTTATGCTGTGAAGTGCCTGAAGAATGTCATTAAATAAATCTACAGCTCAACTTACTAACACTTATTTTTCTGCCATTCATTAGCTGAAGCAGCAGGAGGAGGAGGAGGAGGTGGCGGCGGTGGAGGAGCTGGAGAAGGCAAATCAAAAACATGTACAATTTTATAATTAACTCCAGTGACACTAAACGGTCAAGGACTACATTTCTACTACAGTAGAATATATGAAGATCTTCACTGAGCCCAAGGATTTCTGTAAAGCATAAACTAATCCTTACACTGCTGCCGTTTCTAATGGAATTAAATGTGACAATGTCCAATGGAAAGTGACAAATGATGAAGAACGCATGGAATGTAACCTGAGAATAATTTGTCAAAGTGGATTATGGGTTCATTTCTTGAGTCTTGGCTGCTGTCATTCTCAATTTATACATGGCATTTTTTTTACTTAATGTATTAAAACTGCAACCTGTCAGGAAACCATGATTTTTACACTACTTTCAACCAATTTCATATGATAAGCTATACGTTGCACAACTTGTAACCTCAACATTACTAACAGCATAGCAATAGGTTTTACATTATGATTAGATGAAATGATTTATATTCTCCCCCTGAACTGTAATCAATAAAAATGTAGCATATGTCACTTTAGAAGCTGTAATTCTAGCATAAAATCTGTGCCTACAAAGAGGCTTCTTGAGCACGCACATACAGATGCTGTAGTACAGAAAAGATAGTGGAAAATACATGGAAACTTTAAAACAGTTGTGCTTTTTTGGGGATCAACAATCAGACTAGACTAAGAAATACCATTAAGAAACATCATAATAAAACTTCTCATATAACATGGGTTATTTTTATCCCATAAATGTGGGATACAGAAAAGATAGTGGAAAATACATGGAAACTTTAAAACAGTTGTGCTTTTTTGGGGATCAACAACCAGACTAGACTAAGAAATACCATTAGGAAACATCATAATAAAACTTCTCATATAACGTGGGTTATTTTTATCCCCAGATAGTAGTGATGACTCAACGACTACTTACTGCTCTCCCATGGGATCTGCCAGCACTCTTATGTGGTCGCTGAGGGTTTGTTCCAAGGCTCAGGAGGGAAGGAACCACAAATCAACCAAAGAGGAAGTGATCCACTGAGAGCACAGGACATTGTGAAGCAGGACTATTCCATATTATTAGCAGTAAATTTGTATTGAAATGCCTAAACCACTGAAAGTGTGCACCCCACAATAAGCTTTGAATACATCCAGATAGTACACCCTTACCTATCTCTACAAGATGTCACAGAATTCATCCAGATAGTATACCCTTACCCCATGGCACAGAAGTCATTCAAATAGTACACCCATATCTCCACAAGAAGGCAGAGAACTGAGTTTCCAGCACAAGACCTTATTGGCCATACTGACCCCCAGACCAATTATAAGTGTTAGTTATTTATTACAGTACTTTTATATCCCACTGTTCTTCTAATATATGGCTTGCCTCGTTTGCACTTTATCCTCGTAACAACTGTGTAAAGTAGGTCAGGTTGAGAGTGGATGACTCACCCAATCAATTTCATGACCAAGGAGGATTTGAAACCAGGTCTCCTGCGTCCTAGTCAGGCACCCTAACCACTACACTCTATTTACCCTAGTACAGTATATGAGTAAGGAACCAAAATAATGCAATCCATGTTAAGATTTCCACCCATATTGTCTATATTGATATTGGAACATCAGGCTTGACAATAGGCAACTGTGCCCACTCTGCTGTTGCTTTGCTTGCACAAAAAACAATGGCTCTGTAAAGCAATGTCTTTTTATCTACTTAAGGTCTCGGTGCAAGCCACATCTCTGATTTTCCAGTTCATATGGAGAGTCTCTAGCAGACAGATGAGATTCTCTTGCTCAGAGCCATCACACTCCTCACCTTGTGAAAAAGATTTAGAAAATCTGAGTAAGGCTTTTGCCTTGTGCCTAAAGTGTTGGGATAGATGCAATTGAATGCCAGATGATTATGTGAGTAAGGTTTAATAATAGTGTTGATATAATGAAGGAAATGTACAAATGTAGCTTTTAGAAATGACCGTGTTGATCAAAAAAAGACATAAATGACTCTATTAAATGTTTGAATGTTTAGATGTTTGAAAATGCTTTTTAAAGAGACCCTTTTGACTCCACAGAGACAAAGATGGGATTAAACAATGTTAACTAACTTATGTTTTCAACCATTTCCATAAATAACAGGTGATGAAAAAGTTGTTTTATGGCAAACTGGACAACTGAACTTTTAGTGTGCTATTTCTTAAGCTAGTCTGATTGTTCTCTCAAAAATATTTTCTTTGTAATTATTTTGAAGTTCAACCTAATTTTTACTAGTTTATTGTTTGTGGGTGTAAAAGCCTAAGTGCAAACACAAGGGCTCTCCCACCCTCAAAAGATGCCCAATTTTCTTCCAAAAAGGTGGATTTATTATAACCACTGAAATGAACAGAGGATCATCTGTGCATGAATTGTGTTCTGTCACTCACATTGCTTTTGAACATAGGTTGTATCATGGGAAGTGCAAGACCACGTGGGTGGAACCCACACTTCAGTTCATCCCCAGACTATTATTTCTCTTCTTTTCGGGACAACTGAAAACTTGCAGAATAAGCTCCTCCCACATGGCTCAGTATTTCTCATATTATTTCTGTAGCACAGCTCTCCTGTTGAAAAGGTAGTATGAGAAGCAAATCTGTTTACGTAGCAAACCATACATACTGGTTTAAGACACCAAGGCTAGCTTTTAAAATGGAAAGTGGCCTTGAAAAAGAATTCCCTCCAAAAACAGTCCTACCACCAATACACAATTCAATCCTTGATTTAGGAGAAATACTCAATTAGGAGAAGTACTCAGACATCAAAACATACCCAACCAAGTCCTGAATACCAGTTCTTAGTTTGGTAAGTAGATGCTCCAAATATACTTGTCTCTTTATAACCTTCCCTGTTGGTAATTTTTATTTCCTTCAAAAAGAAGTTTCAAGTAAATCAAGTCAAACTAGTAACTACTAACTACTAACTGGTGAACTCCAAGTGAGTACACAGGGGTTGTATATGTATGGACTGGGGAAATGTGGCCTTTCTCTGGAATTAGGTTCCTTTGATTTCAATAGGTATTATTTCCATTTAAGCATGTTTACACATATGGCCATCTGAAATGGTGGTTACATTTGAAACCCACTTCTCATGAAATCCAAGTAAGTATTCCATAATGGAGGGAAAAAATTTTCTCTCAGGCTTCAGACTGGTTTATTTTTATATTCTTGGGTACTTCCCCAATCTGCTTGAGACTCTAGGACAAGGGAAAGATGCTTCATCTAGACAGACACTTATCTGCTGTACGCTAGGGCTTTACTTACAAAAGATTGCAGTAACTTTTCAAAATATGCTATGATAATACTCAACTACTGTATTTCAGTAGCAAATGCTTCCTAAACACAGTACTCTTATAACATTCTTCAGATTTGAACCCAAATGAATGCAATGGGACTTAACTTTTAAGTTGGCACTGACAAGATTGCATTATCGGCCTGCTGCTCCCTCCCCCTTATCTTCAAATAGTAGCAGGTTACCTTTACAGCAGAGATATAAATAGAACTGTAGTATTCCTGCTCCCATGTGCTGCTACTACTGCAATGAAAACATATATACAGAATATTGATAATATGCAGGAGCATCCTAATTATATAGGCCAGTATTCTATTGCCTAAAAGCAGAATGGAAGAGCAATCACACAAGCATTCTCCACACTGTTCTGGCAGGCTTCCTGTTATATGACAGGCTGCATGACCAATTTCAGTTCCAGAACGGGCCAGTGATGTGGAGCCTGCCAAAGCACTGGGGGGGGGGCAGAGGGAGGAGACACTGCCCTTCTGCTCCATCTTTTGGCGACAGTATACCAGCAATAGTATTCCATTAAATTTCTGCTTTGTTCTATCCTTGACTCCTGGGCCAAATATTTTATGCAGATTTTTAAAATGCCATAAAAAGATTTAAATATATTTTTCTGTATTAAGTATAGGTAGAAGAAGGAAATACTGAGTTTATTGTTAATAATATACTTTGTATTAAACAAAAATCAATGTATTGAAGATGTACTGTACAATTTTTATAACTGTTTCATGAAGATGTACAAGAAAGCTATATATTAACATATATAGATATTTTACATTGTTTTAAACAGCAGAAATAGCAATGGCACTTCCAGAGCCCCATGAAACAAGTTACACAGATGTCAACTGATGGCTGCTTATTGGATTTAACTCCCTGTGAAGCTTGCAAGATGACAAAGAATTAACCTTTAAATCCACCATCTTACCTAAAGAACCCTTCACACACAGAAGTCTATCTTTCACTGCTATCCAAGGGCAACTTCAGTATTTATCTTTACACTGCCATTCCTTCTGTACATGTTAACTGTGGAAAATGTAATTATTTTAAATATCTTTAAATGTAAATAGAAATGTATTGATACCCATCCAAGCTATCGTTTGTGATAACATGTCAATGAGTATAATGTGAGTACTTTCAATTAAGACTATTTTTTAAACTTCAAGTCTTCATTATATGACATATACAATTTAATATGGCAGGCATATTTCTGTTCCCCCCCCCCAAGTTGGATCATGTATCAATTTCATTCAAATCAATATTTTATGAAAACTTTCCATCTGACTTTGCCCTCTTCTGAGTCCAAACAATATCATTGTTGTTGTTTTTTTTTTTTGGGAGGGGGGATACTATTTATTAAGAAATCTAAAGTCAAATGGATTTTTATTATGATGTAGTTTAACAAGGCAGAGACTGAAATGCTGTGTTCTTGGCATGCTGCATGTTTAGGAATATATTCTAAACCAAGATTACTGTTCATGCTCTGCTGAGGAATCAGAAACCATGGATAATGCCTAAACCACATGTACATTACCCTTGCTTATTAAAATAAAAAGTGGCATACTATCACATTAATGCATCACTTCATTATAAGAATGACAGGACTTCTAGTCAGGAAAAAAGGCTAGAAAACCCAGTTTTGTTAAGAAAACACTGTTTTAGTTAGAAAATATTTAAAGATTCTTATCAAAACAATTCAAAGATTATTATCAACTCACTCTTTAACATCTATCCTTCAGAGGTTTTAGCCATATGGATGCTCAAATGTCATGTCTGATCAAAGATTGTTCTCTCAAATGACCAATTTGAGTGACTGCCAAAAGAATTAGAGCTAAAAAGGGAATATCAACTTATGCTGAAACCCAAGGTATCCAGAATTTTAAAAAACTATATTAAAATGTGGAAAAGAAATAAAAGGGAGCATGCATATCTCCACAACCTGCTTAATGAGGTAGAGCATACATAAAGGCTGGAAATCATGGACTGTTGAGTGTTAGCTAGTGATGAATAATGGGAAATCAGAGCAAGAGTGAATTGCTCTTTTTTTAGCTCCTTTTGCCTTACAGGATCACTATCACAGGAAATAGCTAGCTAGCTGGCTGGCTGACACCCTGACAAAGCACACTCTTGTTAAGGGGTTAGGCACAGTACACTGTTTTATTGCAGATCTTAACAATTCCATATATTTGTGAAGCACGGTGTGATAAAAGTAACTTGTAATCTCATTCAGTTGTCAGCATATAACAATAGAATTATCAATTGGCCCCAACTAAGACGATCCAAGTGGCCCACTATTTCAAGACAATTAACTTCAAATATTCCATGTGATAAAGCAAATCTTTTTTTTAATGCATGCTCTGTCAGCCACTAAATATAGTGTTACTACACAAAGGCTACCATCCTAAATATGTCTGTTTATATCAAGGGTAGCAATCCTGTATCCTGCCGATTTTCTGGTTGACAGCTTCCACTGATAGAAGAGCACTGATCATAGAAGTTCTCTCTACCTCATTTTCAGGGACCTCCCTCCCCACAGCACATCTCCGTTCATTCAGCAGCATTGTTGGGAGTGGCAGGAGTGGAGAACTCTGGTTTTTCTACTCTAGTTGCACACTTCTACATCTCGATGCATCATATTTTATGCAAAACATGTTTAAGCCACATTAATGCACAATTTTGTGGCCTTTTGCCAATTTTGCCAAATTGTGTGACACAACTTATGTATGTCACACAACTTATTTATAATTTTAACATGTTTATTCACAGACACTGACACTTAATGAAGAAATGAGCTAGCTCTCCACATTTCAAAGAAACAAGTCTTGAAAGTACTCATCAAATTCTTCATCCCTGCAAAATAAAAGCAAATCATATTAAGAAACACTCCAAGAATATGCTGCCACTTTCATTCACAGGCACCAAGGACCTTTTTTAGTATATGTCCCATGTGTTATAGCACTGCGCCCCAACCTTGGGTGTTCTTGGACTGCAATTCCCAGAAGTCTTCAACACCAGCTGTGCTGCCTGGGGTTTCTGGGAGATACAGTCGAAGAATACCTGGGTTACCCAAGGCTGGGAACCACTGTCTTATAGGAAGGTGCCGGGCTGGAAAAGAATAGGTTTATTTAGATTTATTGCTGCATTAGTGTATGACTACACATCATTATCATGGTGCCACTGAAGAGATTATGTAAACAAAGACAGCAAACAGTACAGTGACAATTTTGTTAGCGCAAATACACATATCAAAGGTGCGGGGGGGAAACAACAACCTTGAAAACAAACAGTGAGAACCCATGGGAAGAATGTGATGAAGAGATAATAGATCCAAAGGATAATGTGTTCACTTATTTTATACTTTATTTTATTTGTAATTTGTTTATCTGATGTATTTGTTTATTGGTTTCCTGAAAACCACAGCCACCAAAGTGATATGTGTTGATGTCGAATAACCCACACATATACTCATACACCAGAGATTTTTAATAAATTAGGTCATTCTTTCAATTTTTGCCCAAATGTTAATAAAAAGCAAAAAATAAGGACTTAATTCAGAACGGGGACTTAGCCTGATCCCAAATAATTTAAAAATTGGGTCAAAAATTACAACATAAAGACATTTTAATAGATTAGATACAGAAAAAGTAAGAAGAAGACAGAGTTGATCATGGTAAGAACAACAGTGGGGGCAGGAGGCAATGTATGTGAAGTGTGTGTGTCTGTGTGTGTGTGTAAGGGGGGCACTGAATTAATCAGCTAAATTTGTACAGATAAATCCCTCATAGAACGGGAACAAAGGGAACAAACAAGAAAGAAAAGGGGTTAAGAGGGAGATGTAGGGGATACATTTC